TTATACATTGCCTTTACATTTATATATTTTTATTTTAAAGTACCAATGGACCAGCTTCACTTACGGTGACATTGAAATATCTAGAACCTTTATTTTCCTTTCAAAAAAAATATCTCAAAGCTTGTTGAGATTAACTGGAGTTTTCACAGAGGACAGATTTCAGGGATTTATTGGGGCAGAAGGCACACAAAACAACAGATAATAATAAAAATTCACTGATTTTTTTTTTTTACTGGGTGGGTTGGATTTGTTATATATTTTATTAAACATTTATTACAATCCTGTTAATTTGCAGAAGAAGACTTAACCATTAGCATGACCTTGACCTTTTCTGTCCATGAATTTCAGCTCTGATTGACTGTTTGGTGGATGTGATCCTGCATTTCAGCCACATCAGCCTCCTTTTTTGGGCTGGGTTAGGTTTTTTTTTTTTTGCATTCTGTATCTTTTAATTAGTTGACTGTAATTCTTCAAGGTCTTGGGCCGTGGGGTGTTTAATGGCTTTAGACACAAAGAAAAAGTGTTGAGAGGTTTTATTTTTTTTCATGGGTAAATTCCTCCTCTGGGGTTGGATGTCTCACTTCCCCCATGGGAGACACACAAGGAGCCTCAGTCAGAAAGTGGATTTCTCTTGCCAGGGCGTTTCAGCAGAATTGGTGAATAATCCAGCAGAATTTTGCAAGGACGCAATAGCAAAACCACCTCTTTTCCTCAGCAGCCCACGGGCTCCGCTTTTGTTGTGATCACAGCAGGTTTGGAGTGATGTGTGCACAAAGGAAAAAGAGAGAATGAACAGAAAGTAGTTTATGGCTTTCCTCAAAGGCACTTTTCTAACTCAAAAATACAAGCCTTGTGGTTTAGATGGTTTTGAAACGTAACCACAGATGTTGAGAACTGGAAAAGATTTGATTTACCATCTCCTCCAATTTTGGTACTAGATTCAGGGCAGAGGAAATCTATTTGCAGAATGAAAAATGTTGAAAGGAAATCTATTAATGTCAACATTTTTGAAACAGGAACATGCTATTTGGAGAAACCATCAGATGAAGAAATCGAGGTAATTTGTGTCTTGATGGAGTAGGTGCGGATGCGTCTTTTTGAGATCTCCACCAAAGTGCTATAATCTTGTTTTGGTGAAGCTTTGTCAGATGTTTTATGGTCTGCAACCCTCTTTTTTTTGCAGCTGTGAAAGATCAGTGTCAGACTGAGCACGTTCTCTTTGAGCTTGATCTAGAAACTGAATGGGATCAGCTGCCTGGAGCACATCTCAGCCTCTCCAGCATGTTAGACCTGGCTGTCCCTGGCTGCTCGCAGCTGGGAGCAGAGAGCATTGATGCCACACTGTTTTTTTACGCTGCCTCATCCTTGTTTGCTCATTGAATGACCCTTGCTGATAGCTGGGTATCTCTTTAGTATGTAGGAGTCTCTGGAGAATTTACCTTTTCTTTAGAAGTGGAGATTCTGGGTGTTCTTGGTGTGACATCTGAAGGTGGTTTTTCTGGCCTCTGTGACCTGTCCTTGCTTTTGCAGGCACTGCTCTGTCACTGTTTTAATACGTAGTATTAAACTACTTATTAAACTACTATTAATAATTGCTGCTTCTTGCTCCTACTACAGTGTCTGGAGGTCACTCCAGAATTGTCCTGTTCTTATCCTCTGCGTTGAGCCCAGATGCACTTGTGGTTCAGTTATGAACATTCGGTTTCCAATCGCTTTGCTTTGTTCTCCCTTCCCTTGTATTTCTTCCTCTCTCCCTTTTGTGTTGAGCAATTGTCTCCTCTCCAGACTTGTTCTGGAAGGTTTATGAAACTCCTTGTAAGGTCCTGTCCCTTTTTCCTCAGATATCCTAGTGTTAGTTTCCCGCTGCTTCTCCAGTTCCTTCTCAGATATGGATGAGCAGGAACTTATCTGGTATTCCAGTGGGAACATAAGTACACTTGTTGCTTCATTGTCCATGCCAAAGACACTGGTTTTTCACTCTTTAGGGTTGCCAGGAGAACCATAAGGAGAATCATGAGGACAACAGCCAGGCCAGTCCCCCAAATAGGTCCTGCAGGAGAAAGAAAAGATGAATTGTTTGTTTTTTTTCAGGAGCCAAAATAATGTGGACCTTCACATTTACATCTTCTGTCATAGCCAGAGGGTAGCTGGATACAGCAGCTCAAGATCCAACATGAACTACAGCATCTTTCCACCCTGGTGGGACTGGGCAAAAGCATATTGTCGCTTTTTGTTTGTGTTTGGCTGTAGGAGTGACTTCTTGTGGGTTATTTTGTTATGTTTTTAGCCTCTGACTACATTTCATCCTTAGATACAAGGTTTTACCAGGTAAGGAGTGCTACTCTGCTGCCTGCATCCTGTGGTTGAGTTGTCACTGTTTCCTCTCCTTGTTCAATCCCCATCCTGGAGAATCAAGTGGGAATTGCCTCTTTCTTACCCAGAGACTGAACCGAGAGCAAAACCTTTTGGTCAGGTCATGCCAAAAGATGGGTGGTTGCCCTCTCCATGGTTGATCTTCTCCAGCCTCCGCAATTCAGCTCTGGGCTTGGCCACCACGGGGCTGGGCAGCATCTCCAGAGGTTCCATAGAAATAACTACATGAGGGGTACGTTCACCAGCAGGGTTTGGGGAGGGGGAAGGTTGTTTCCTCCTTACCCGTGCTTGCACAGTGGCATGCTGGCAACGTGCTGAGTTGTTTAAAATTGACAGGAGAGATGGTTTTCATGCATCTTGTGTGTTCAAAAACCGGTGAGATCTGATTTCAGTTCCAGGGAGGTAAGGTAGGAAAAGTCACGTAGGAAAAGGGCTGATTTTGTTGATTGAGGTTTAGAAAGCTTTTTAACAAGTTGAATTATTGGCTGTATCTGAAGTGAAACACTGCTTTCCTAACTGCTCTCATTTCCTGTATCATTCCAGCCTGTTCACTGCATTAATTACAGTTCAGGTTTATAATGTCTTTGGTTACACACTGGGTTGCGTTCTAATTTTTTTTTTTTCCTGTGTATGTATAAATGTCTTTGGGAGTCAGGCCAGGAGGAGAGTGTGTCTGTACACATGCACACACACACGGGCTGGATTTCACTGTTAGTTGCTAATTTTGTGGGGAGTGGGGATCTGGATTTTCTTCTGTTTTGTTGTAAAAAAGAGACTTTTCTTTTTTTTTCCAAAGGAGAAGCAGTAGCTGAGAACAGCCAGTGTTTGGAGAGTTCAAGATTTCAGAACAACCAGAGATGAGAGAAAATATTATCTTACGAATTGTAAATGTGGCATTTTTAATTTGGCTGGTGTTTCCCAGAGGTTAGTGGATAATGGGAATACTATCGTTCTCTTGGCTCGACTGGTAACAGCTTCCTACTTAAAATATTTTATAAATGCAGTGCTTCAGAGTTTAGTTGGATGAGGTAGAGCTTTTCACAGTTGAAGTAGCTTTTTGTGACCTGAAATATGAAGTGAGATGGGATACTAAGCAAGAAATCTCGCATTTGGAAATGAGCTATTTAGGAACTGCAGAAGGTGATTGAAAGGATGTTTCCTTTTCAGTTTAACATTTTCCTTTTGGCTTTATGAAAACTTAAGAGGAGGTGCACTAAATATATGAGGAGTGGTTTTGGAGAACTCATTCAGATTTTTAAATTAATTCTTCATATTTAAACTGTTGAATGCATTAGAAGATTTTCATTCAGAATATTCTGAGTCATGCTTTCATAAGTAAATGATTGCGAATTAAATAGAAGCAGATATCAAAAATGTTACTGCTTTTCAAATGAAATATTCCTAAACATTTGGTTCAGAAATACTGGTATGATGAATAATGGTATGATGAATAATACTGGTGTGATGAATGATAATAGATACAAAATAGCAACTGAATGCAAGTCCTCAAATAACTAGGTGAAAAGTAAAAGAGAAAAATTCCAAATAACCTTCTTTGAAATAATTGATCACTCTTCTTTTTTTTTTAGCCTTGCCACTCATAGAACCCCAGACTGGTTTGGGTTGGAAGGGACCTTAAAGATCATCCAGTTCCAACCCCCCTGCCAGCAGCAGGGACACCTTCCACTAAACCAGGTTGCTCAAAGCCTCATCCAGCCTGGCCGAGAACACTTCCAGGGAGGAGCAGCCACAGCTTCTCTGGCCAACCTGTTCCAGTGTCTCACCACCCTCACAGTGAAGAATTTCTTCCTAATATCTCATCTAAACCTCCCCTCTTTCAGCTTAAACCCATTTCCCCTTGTTTTGTCATTAACTGCCCTTATGAAAAGTCCCTCCCCAGCTTTCTTGTAGCCCCTTCAGGTACTGGGAGGCCGCTATAAGGTCTCCCTGGAGCCTTCTCTTCTCCAGGCTGAACAGCCCCAACTCTCTCAGCCTGTCCTCACAGCAGCATTTCATCTTTCCTCTTCCTCAAACATTGTTTTGCCCGAATGCCATCAGAGCCCAGCCTGCTCCCAGCCCGGCGCTCGCCAAGCAAACGGGGGCTCATCTTCCCATAAATTCCTCCACTTGCATCTTCCATCCCTAGGCTGTGATGAGGTTAACACTTTAGAGCCATTTCATTAAAAATTAGTGTGTTGATAATCCTTTCCAACCTGTGCAAGGTGCTGGCTCTTCTAGGACCGTTTTGGTTTAATATGAAAAAGGGGGAGCGGATGCGTTCGATGCGCAGCAGCAGCAACATGATTTAGTTGTCAATGCACCAATACAGCTTTTCAGTATTGGAGTCCGTGTGGGTGTTTGGTTAAAGCCATGCATGGATTGATGTCTGTTATTCTCTTAGGATTTCAGAGTGAAGGATTTGAGCACTTTAATCCTGACTGACAGTTGGAAGGTTTGGTGGTTTCAAACACAGCGGCACGGAGTAGCTGATTTCTCCTCGGTGAAACAATGCACCAGTGTGTGTCTGGGCTGCCTGTACACAGCCAATAAATCTGTTTTGTTTTGTTTTTCTCTTTCCCCCCACCCCATTTCTCTCTCTCCCTCTCTTTCTCTTCCCCCTCCTCCAGGCCAGGACCCATTCCTATTGCTGAAAACCCTTCAGCTTCTCTGGACAAAGACAGAGATGAAGAAGGTAAGGCTGAGCCTCCCCTCCAGGCTGCAGTTCATAAGTGCATGCAGAGCATGTCCAGGCGCAGAACGCTTGGGTCAGACCTGCAATTCTTCACCATTGCTTTCAGTTCCAGCACACAGGGGAAGAGCCTATGCATTTGCAGCAAGAAGTGGAAAGAAAAGGTAGCTCTGTGTGATGTGAAGCAGCTCAGAGGCTCATACAAAAGAGATGAAGTTTACAGGGCTGAGTTACAGAGAGGGGGAAAAAAAAATCCAAGTTGCTTTTGTTTGCTTTTAAACACTTTTTTTGTCCATTAAACGGAAGATCTTTGGGGGAGGGGGAAGAATATTTCTAGTAACTGAAAAAATAAGGTTTGAAGTCGGTAGAAAAGTGCTCTTTGCCAACTGGGATGATACCAAAGCCTTCATATTCAAAGTATTTTTACTTTTTTTTTTCTGATTTGGTTTGGTTTTGCCTTTTAGAGTGGTGAATGCAATTTACACTGCCTGTCTGACTAAAATTAGTGCTGTATTTTTATACAGCACCCTATGGGCTCTAGGTAGAGATTTCTCATAGGGAGTAAAGTATACTTCATGTAAATTTGGGAGCTTGAAAACTAACAAAAATACGAGATGCATCAGCGCAGTGGTGAGTTTCCCATGTTTGACTCTGCCTTGTTCAGGCAGGTTCATAGCCGAGATGTTTTTTTTTTCCCTAAAAGACCCAAAACCCTGCAGCTCACCACATGGAATGTGTCCTGTGTGACATGGCCAGTGTGGCTGCATACCTTGGTGTACGTGCTCCATCCCAGGTGTCTGGAGTGCTTAGTTGTTGTCCTTGTCTGCCACACTTAGAACTTTCCATTACTGATAGTCTGTGGTTCCCAGCCAGAATAATTAAACAACTGGAAACCCAGTGTGAGAGGTGCCTTTCCAAATGGTCAGTCACCGACGTAGACTTGAGCTCAGCAACTCTGAAGCCTTGAGCTTTCTATCTAGTTTTGTTAGAGTTGGAGGAAAAAAAATAAATATTATTTGTTAAGTCTTGAGGGCAGTTAATCCCACAAAACAGCAGTAGGAAAGAGTCATCATCAAAATCTCGGTGCTGTATACCCTGGGCTGTGTGTGGATTGTGAAGAAAAATACTCTGAAAAAGGCAAAGCCTCCCATTGACGTGTCCTTGGGCAGAGAGCACCGCAGCTTTCCTGCTTAGGGTGGAAAAGCTTGAGGATCCCCATGAGTCACACTTACAGCTCTGCTTATTCAGTTTGTTTCTGGAATGGTCATCCCCGCAGTGAGACACGTGGTTTTGCAGAGCGGGCAGGCTGCAGCTCCCCGGTGGGACAGGTCTGTCCCCTCGTGCCCACCATTCAGGCAGCGCCGTGGGGCCGTGGGCATGGGCAGAAGCGTGTTTCTGAACCTGGAGGATGCGTTTCTGAACCATGAGGAAAAGCCTTTTTAGAGAGGTGAGGAGGGCTGGGTGGGACCAGGCGGTGACACAGCAGCACTTGCCTCTAAGGTGGAGAACACAGCCCGAGTGTCTCCGGTGGTTTCTGACACGTGCTCGTCACTGAGATGAGCTCAGGGCATCGCCAGCCTTTCAGGCATGCAGCACAGACGCTTTTTTCAGAGGCAGCTGCTGCCTTGTCCTCTGTGTGCAACTCAAGGTGTGTGGTTCTGCTGTTGTCCTAAGCCCACCGACATCCAACCATCCAGTTCCAATAAATGAAAGAATCATAGAATCATAGAATCATAGAATCATAGAAGGGTTTGGGTTGGAAGGGACCTTAAAGATCATCCAGTTCCAACCCCCCTGCCAGCAGCAGGGACACCTTCCACTAGACCAGGTTGCTCAAGGCCTCATCCAACCTGGCCTTCAACACTTCCAGGGAGGAGCAGCCACAACTTCCTTGGGCAACCTGTTCCAGTGTCTCACCACCCTCACAGTGAAGAACTTCTTCCTAATATCTAACCTAAACCTCCCCTCTTTCAGCTTAAACCCATTTCCCCTTGTTTTGTCATTAACTGCCCTTATGAAAAGTCCTTCCCCAGCTTTCTTGTAGCCCCTTCAGGTACTGGGAGGCCACTAGAAGGTCTCCCTGGAGCCTTCTCTTCTCCAGGCTGAGCAGCCCCAACTCTCTCAGCCTGTCCTCACAGCAGAGCTGCTCCAGCCCTCAGATCATCCTGGTGGCCTCCTCTGGACTTGTTCTAGCTGCTCCAGGTCTCTCTTGTCATGGGTGCTCCAGAACTGGATGCAGTATTCCAGGTGGGGCCTTAAAGTTGACTTAAATACAACTTTGCTGCATTGACATTGAAATGGCAGGGAGCTGCTTTGCCTTTTACTGTCTGTAAGTCAATACAATCTGTTAACGAGTGTGAATCAGTCATCTCCATTATATGATGGAGATCTCAAACCCATGACCGATGAGTCACCTCCATCATTATATGGGTTTGAGACCCATCAGTCTCAAATCAGTGACGTTGAGCAGAAGGAAGGAACCTGTCATGGCGTGACCTTGCTTCTGGGACACAATTATAAGAAGTGGTCATATCCTACATAGAAAAGACAGTTTGGGAATAACCAGGAAGCATCAGCAGACTGCCATGAGCTGTGTAACTAGAAAAAAAGGGACCAAAACTCAATGAAGGATTATGTAGTTTGAGCATCAGCAAAATGTTCCTATTCCCATGATCTGTCAGGGTGTAGAAATCCCCCAAGGAGCATCCCCTGCCATGGGAATCAATTGAAATGGAAATGGCAATGACACGTTTGAGAGGAATCCTTCTCTGGCAGAGGGCAGCCAGGCAGCTTTTACTCTTTCCTCTTTGATTTAGGTGTCTTGCCCCCCTTTTCTTTTTTTCTTCTTCATTTTTTCCCTCCCCCTCAAACTCTACATCCCATAGTTGAAGTCTTCCGATTGCTAGGAAGTTTTGAAGAAGGCTTTTCCCCTGCTTGTCAAAGTCAAGACTCGGTGTAGATAAGGGCAGTTAGTGCTCCTGGCAGTTGTGTCCCTGGTTGGAGATGCTCTGTGTGTGCAAACAGGCTCATGCTCTCGGACGCGGTGTCTGCTGGAACCCATCCTGACAAAGCCTGGGCTTTGACTCCAGCCCAAGGAGGAGCTGAGCAGTGTGGTTGAAAGTTCTTGTTCGGTCTAAATGTGCTGAAGTGGAGCTTTGGGGGCTGGGGGCGGAAAGAAAAAAGCAGAGAGGCCATTTAGAACCAGTGCAATTTAGCTGGCGAGTTCTTTGTTTTCCTTTGGCTGTTGTGTTGGATATTTGTGGTCGGATAAGAACTTGCCTTTTCCTTCTGCTGAATCTCGCAGTGAAGTTGGAGCCCTGTGTTTAACATCGCAAATTCTTGCCACAGGGAAAAATATTTACAGGGAGAAATCTTGTTATCTAAAGTCACATCTTTGTTAGTCATCAGCTTTTTCATGCTGCATTTGATAATCTAGTGAGAAAGAAACAGTTTCTGTTGTAAACGATAGGTTTTGTGGTTTTTCCAGACATGAAAGACACTATGGAAAATAACTGTCTTCCAGTAAATATTGTCGATGCATAAAAAAGAACAAATTCATTGGCAAATTTTCTGCAGATTTGCTTTTGTTTTTCATGTCGTTCTTCAAACTTTATGTTGTTTCCATTGGAAGCCGCGACTGGGGCCATCGTATACAGTAAATTACAAGTGCTGGCTGCAGGCGGGAGTGAGCATCTTTTGGATTTTGCTTTTTATCCAGAAAAGAAAGCGAGCAGCTGCTCTTAGTGATTTCTTGTTTTCTGGCTCTGCTTTCGCCTTGCTCCACGCCAGTCCATGTACCATGTGGTGAAAGGTCCTGTGTGGGTAGTGCAGGATGCCACTTCTTCACCCTGCCAACCCTCCCGGCTCCTTGGAAACTACTTCTAATGTAAACATTATAAAGATATTGCTCAGTCCTGCTAATTTATCACTTCTACCAGATGGGTAGTAAGTAGCCTATTAACATTCACAAAGTGAGTGTCCAATTCCTTTACATTTCTGAACACATCACCCTGGGATTCCTAAGATTTATGGTGTGGAGTTTTTCCCATGTTCCAAGCCGCTTAGTTTGGCTTTGAGACGTGGGGAGGAGTGCGGTGCCTGACGTGCAGTGGCAGTAGATAGTTGGCAGAAAATACCCTGCTCAGGTAGGTCTGGAGGAAAGGAGCGTGGATGTGCAGGATGGCAATCTGACACAGTTTCAACTCCTGATATTTCTTTCTTTTTAATCTGGTGTGTAAAATCCAAACTGTTTTGATACTCCCAAATTTTCCTGTTAGGGTGAGGAGCGTTATGCCATCGTGGCTGAAGTGGGTATGAGGTCAGATATGAAAGTTTGTGGTGTAAGGATGAGGAGGTGGGGCTTATATGCTTTATTACTTGCAGGTCTCTTAGAAGATGAGTAGGTTTTTGAGCCCGACTATCTACCTTCAATATTACCATTTTCCTAATAACACTCCTTTCTCCAGCTCACTTCTTTTCTCCCCCTCCCCCAAATCCCAAGCCCCTTTGTCTGCCCCACAGAACAACTTCTCTGTCTTTATGGGATAATTAGTGTGGACAATTGCTGCTTTTCCCATTGGGTTTGAGGTGCAGTGAGCCATGAAGGAATCTGTAATGACATGAAAAGTCACTGGAGGCGCGGATGGTGGCTGAATAGCAACAGTTACCTCTCTGAATAGATTAAATTAAAAAAAATAAAGCTTTGTGTTCAGCTGGGGGAAGGGAGGATTCACTAATCTTTTTGTACATGACAATGTGTTTTTGTATCTCAGCAGCTCAAGGAAGAAATCAGGCGGGGCTTTGCAGGACTGGAGGACCCATTGGCAGGACTCCTGGACATGCTGGAGAGCAGCAGTGATTGGAAGGGGAAAGGGCATTCCCTCGGGTATTACATCACCACGGAGTTGCAGCTTTGGATAAAAGAGCATCCTGCTGTTCAACAGGTTAGAAAAAGAGAGAGCAAGAGAGCTGGGAGAAAGGAGAGAGCGATTGATTTTAATGTCCCTCCAGTGTCCCCAGTTTCACTTTATTCCCTAGTCCAGCTTCTTCTCTGTGGTCTCGTACAAACACGGTGTGACGAGGTGTGAAATTCATACTGAGATGTTGTTATTTGGTGTATGCTGGCCCAAAAATGAAACAGTATTAGAAGCTGTGATGCGAGAGCTCTATCTCCCCTTCCAAACTGGGATTACCATCTTTCCAGATCAAACCACTTTGATCAAGCGTTGATCTTGCAGCCTTTGCCGGGCTGGAGGCTTTCCCACTGGAGCTCACATCCCTGCTGTCAGGATAAAACCAATTGCAGTAATCTACTCTGCATATTCTTCCAGTTCTGCAAATAGAAGCCAGTGACTGTACGATTGCTTAACTCCTGCCATATGGTGGGGAGCTTTTATCATCGGGAATGCAGAGAATGGTAACAGTATGAGTTTTCAGCAGCTGAATGATGAGCTTTGTAACATTGGGTCATCAGATTATACATCCTAATGTTTACCATTCCTTATGCCTTCATATATTCTGACCTACTGAGATCCTGTCTTTTTTGTAAGCTTTATGGCTCTGAACTGCAAGATACTTTTATATTCGTGTTGTTTCATTTCCCACTTTTCCAAATGGCTCTTTTTTAGATGTTGAGCTCTGCCATGACAGTATCTGCAAAGTACAGTGAAGTGCTGCTACTGTCTCTGAAATTCCTGTGTCATAACAGAATAATCACGTAGGAACACAAGGATTAATACTTGCATCCTTGCATCTTTCAACGACACCTTTGCTTTATCCTGCCCTTCTTGCACCCAGGAGCAAGCCTGGAAATGAAAATCGAATTCTTATGCCTGATAGGTGAGATCTCCCTTGAGAGGAGTTGCTGGATTCAAAGATTTTCTGCTGGGAACTAGAGGGGAGAATTTCTAAATAGCTGTGTTAGTCAAAGAGGGCATTTTTCCAGTTTCATATTTTACTTTTGCACAAGGCCATATGCCTTTTCCAGAATTATCCCACAAACATTTAATGTTTTTAAATTGGATGCTGTGAAAAAAATGTGTATCATATTGTTCTGATTTCTGCTTGCAGACTCCATGGGGAAATTGGAGAATCCCTTCCCAAGGAATTGGCTTATTCTACTGTTTAAACAAGCTGCATTTTCAACTGCCATTGAATTGTAGCCATCTTTACTAAATCTGGGTTTGATTTTTTTTTTTCTTTTTAATTTCTGGGTTTTTTTTTTTTCAGTCTGGCATCAAGCTGAAGAAGCTGCAGGCCCGTGTACTCAGAATACTAGCCCAGTGCCCAGCTAATCTTCTTGACCCTCTGATTAGCATTTACCAGCTCCACACAGCAGACCGGAACTATTTGCTTGAACATGTCAGTCATCTTTATCACAAGGGCGATTACAAAGAGGTGGGTCATGTCTTTCAAATAAATTTACCTACCCAGCTCTCTAGTTCTCTGTTAATGTCTGTGTCCTTTTTTTGGATGCATTTCAATGTGAATTCTGTTTCATCCCAGCAGCTGCACACTGTGAATGGTACAGCTTAGCGTGGTCTTCCCATGTACAGGAGCAGGCTGTGTTCCACCTCATTTTTTTCTAATGGCTGCGTACAGAATGCCAGGGAATCCTTCCTGCACCCCTTTTTTGACCTTTGAAAGTAGTAGGTTAATAGGGTTTAATTTGGAGAATTTAAGGGGATGGTTGTGTTCTTTTTTGTTTTCCTTGGCAAGCAAAGAAGGGATTTTAGCAGTTGGTTGTAGACCTGCTGTGCTATCTCCAGTCTGCCTGCAGCAAAGAGGCGTTGGAAAATCTCTCTGTTCCCACATGATTGCCCTAACCAAAGGGTTCCCAGTTCGAGCAGTTTCGAAGCCTCTTTACCATTGAGGCTTGTATTCAAAATGTGTTACTGCTCATGTGTTTGAGTTTGAGTGGCTGACACTGGCAGGAGTTCACCAAACCCAGAATTTGATATGTTTTACCCTGTGGCTTGGAGTACTTGCAGCATCTCTGCCATCACCGTGGTATCTCGGTAGCCCTGCAAGTGTTCTCATGAGCAAACTGCAATACTCTTAATGCTCTTTTTTTTTGTTGTTGTCGTTTTTAAAAAGTCATAGGATTGTTTTTCTCAAAGGCATTTGGTTCACTGCCTGATCTTGTTTAGCAGAAGAAAAAAATCAAATAGCATTTTTAAAATGCTGTTCTTCAGTAAAGCCGAATTCCCAAGTGAGATTGTGGAATTCCATTCTTGTTGATTTCTTTGAATGCTGAAACAAGAATATTTCATATTTGATTAGAAGTTCACAGGTAGCTGCTTGAAACATATTCCTTTGCTCAATAATTTTTTGAACATGTTTGAAAATCCTAACAGAAGCATAGTTTTGACTATATTCAAGTGTGACTTTTATGTTCATGGGTCCAGAGATATTTATTGCTGTCATTTGAAATGCAGTTCTTGCTAGATCTGGTTTTGGAAAGCTCTGTATTTTTTTGGGATGGAATTATTTTTGTGTTCTTTCTTCCACAGAAAAGCTCATTTACTAGTCATTCCCAGTGTGAAGAACAGGAAACCTCAACTGTTGCTTACCCTCAGCCATAACTTACTTCTAGTTTTGTTTTGTTGCCAGAAAGATGAATAGAATTATCTTCAAGAATAACAGGAAATCTTTTACTGCCCTTGGGGACTGATCATACCTAAGTTCACAGCAACTAACCCCAAAAAACCTGGAACTCAGGCTCTGAGCACTTGCAATGGGCTGTGGTGTGTCTGGTTGTCCTGCTCTTCCCCATCTTTCAGATGGGACAGTAAAGCAGATTCACATGGAGGATTTTTGGCTTTTCTGTCTCTCACCCGAAAGGACAGAAATCCTTATAAATCATTGCTGTCATTATTGATTTTCTTGCTGTATTTACGAGAAGACACCAGGCATCTTTTCTAGAGCACGTTGTTCCCTTTGTGTGCTTTGATGCGGTTCCCTCTGTGGTGTGAACCATGGAGGTCCCCAGCTCTGCTCCTTTCCCTCACAGAGGTTTTGGAGAAAGATTTCTTCCAAAAACAAGATCCCGGAGATCCCTGGGAATGGCCATGGTGATTTATTTGTTTCTGAAGTATGTCTGTCCCTCGCTGTGTGCCTTATTTTAGTAGAGCTTGTCCATAGCTGAAGCAGTTTGGGATCTCAGCAGGTGGGAGTTTTGCAGTGAGCTGTGGGTGATGGGGCAGGGCACGGGTGTCCTGGGGCAGCAGGAAAACTTGGTGGTGGGTTTGGTGGAAGATGGTGCAGGTGGAGGTAGTTTTATTCTGATTTAGCAGCATAAAATTGCCGCGGTGAGGAGGTACCTGATGGGGAATGCTGGCCAGCGGATGGCACTGGTGCTCCCATGTTGCAGAAAACAAGCTGGTACAGTGAGAGTTGAAGGAAAAAGCAGAGACATGGAAGTGGGGTTTGGAGGCATCTGGCCTGCTTGGGGTTTTTATCCATTTTTTTGTGCATGGGGTTTGTAGCTGCTGGAGGAGTATGGCAGCGTGGGGCCTTGCGGGCACTCTGGAGCTGTGTGAGGGGCTCCTGGCTGTGCTCTTCATGGCCCACAGGGTGTGAGGAGACGACATTTAGACTGGATGTGAGGAAGAATTTCTTTGCTGAAAGGGTTCTGAGGCATTGGAAGGGGTTGGCCAGGGCAGTGGTGGAGTCCCCATCCCTGGAGGGATTGAAGAGTCGTGTAGACACAGTGCTGAGGGACATGGGTTAGTCGGGGACTTGTCAGTGTTGGGTTCATGGTTGGACTCGATGATCTTAAAGGGCTTTTCCAATCGAGGCCATTGTGGGATTCTGTGACATTCCCGCTCAGGTAGTTTCAGGTGAAATGTGGCAGCTCTGTCCCCTTCTCAGAAGCCCTCCAAAGCCTCGGGCCATGACTCCATGCCGCCCTCAACCCGAGCTGTCCCTGTGCCCGATGGAGCTGCCGGTGGACGGCTTTGTGGGAAGGGCGATGGCTGCCGGTGGGGCCGGGACAATGCGGGGATTCAGCAGACCGGGGGTAATGCAGCGCGAGCGAGTCTGTGAGAGGCCCTGAATAGGCCAGGCTGTGCTTGAGAAGAATGAGGGGTAGGCAGAAGGCAAGCTAGTGTTTCATGGTCATCTTATGTTACACTTCAGCCTTTCAAAGAGTGTCTGGGGCTGGTTGAATGAACCTCTCTTGCGCTGCGAATGCGGGAGCCTAAAGACAAAGGGGACTCTTGTCACTCGCAGGCCCCTTTTTGGGAATAAAAGCCATTGTCACATGAACAGGGGCAGTCTGGCAGGCTGTGCATGCTTCAGTGCCCCATGATATCGCTAAGTCTCAGCAGAAATCACATTCAGGGCCCTGTCAGCTTTGATTAGCGGGGGTCTCATGACTTAATGTGCTGCGATATTTCATGTCTAAGGGTGGCGGCTGTCTTTCTGTGGGATGAATGCCCTCTATTGTCCGCTGAGTTATTTTATTTACATTTTTTTTAAACAGCTTATAAAGGTAAAAAGATAGCTGTGCTTAAAGAAAAAAAAAAAATCAAATTCCTTTGCTTCTGGATCAGTAGTGAGTGCTGCTCGGGTCAGATACAGTGAAACTTGTTTTCACAGTCAGCATCAAAGTTCTCGTCTTGTTTAACAGCTTTATAGTAAATTCTGAACAGGTGGCAGTGGAGCTGGGTTTAGGAAGGAAACAATAAATAATCTTTTTAGCTTCTGACAACCAGAAATATTCTTGGGCCTGAGAGAGCTCCCACTCCAACTTCTCTGTATCAGTGACCAGCAGCATTTTTGTCCCCTTCATGGGTTTGGTTCTTAAATAAGAGTATTGGACTAAGCTATTGGGCAGGGAGTATTTAATTTTTAACAGGTTTTTTTGGTTGTTTTCCTTCCAGATGTCTCTGTTTTCAAAAGCAGAGTATATTTTATCTACTAATGTTGCATCCATTAATTTCTACAGATAAGGAAGGTTGATTCCGTATGTTAAGTTCAGTAAATGTTTGCTCTTTCAATTAAGATAATGTGGATTATCTATTAAAATTCAGTTGTTGAAATTTGTCATAAAATAAGGTGGAGTACCCAGAGAAAAAACTCTGTAAATACAGAATTCAAAGTTTTTGTCAGCAAAACAGCTGTACTGCTACAGAAGTAACTTGATAATTTGGTAGAAAAGATGGTTGACCAAAGCCTTTAAAGGAATACAAATATGCTGAGGTGTAGAAATACATAGTTCAATCACCAACATGATCTTCACTTTTCAGTGTGGTGATGTTTAGAACACCATTTCAGAGATGTTATTGTTCGTAGTCCTACTTCATACACGGTGTTTGAGTGCACATGGCGTATTTTTGCAAATCCATCAATAGAGATCAGTGTTAAGATTGATTGAGCATGTTAATGAATATTCAGCTTTTGGATTTCTTCACTCTGACTTTTTTGAGCTGTTCTCAGGACAGTGAAAATGTCTCTGATATTGTGTCTTTACCTCATTCACCATCTTAATTACAAAGGCTCGTTCAACTCTTACTATATTTTAAAGTGTGTGCATTTGAATTTCCTTGTTCCTTTTAAATTTAAAATAATAATTGATAATAAAACTAAGGAAAAATGTTACAGGGGATGTTTCTCACATATGGATGATGATGCCAGTCTCAACCCTCGTTTCCTATTCACTTTATCTGCT